TGTAGTGAAAATTAATTGTGGAACCACAAGAACTGTTGTTTCTACAATTATCCCTACTGCTTTAATTGCTCTGCTGTCATCAAATGTGTTTGGTTAAGCAGAAATCAAGGTTTTGTGCGGGGTGGGAATCAGTTACTGCACACAAGTACATGTCTGAAGAATCTGTACATGAACTACAGTTATACAGTGAACCACCTTCTCTTTCCTGTGATTGTGCAGATTTGCAACAGGTAGAGATATCTGCTAGACCCAAATGCACAGTTAATCCTTCTGTGAAGCTTAAAGTTAATTATGAAACAAATAGAGCAGAAATGCCTGATAAATTATTTGCTGTGTGGAACAGAACTGTGCAATGGATAACTGTTGTTGATGAAACATGCAATGATGTAGAGCAACTAAGAAGTATACTTGCAAAGCTCAAAATAGCTTATGAAAACTATAAGAGACACTTGTTAAAAAGCAAAGTTCAAACAGTGTGCACACTTGTAAAACTATGTTGAGAGAATTCAAGACTCCATTTTTATTTCCAAAAAAACTCATGCTACGAGAACTCAAAAGGAAAAAAAACTCTGACAGCATAACTTCCTGTAAGCAACCAAGTCTACATTAGAGAAGCATCTTACACCAGTGTCAGTGAAACAACATCTCAAATTACTACAGACAGTAGTTAAACTGACCCTTTATCAGGTGACCAGGAATCTACTAATACTGAGATCCCACACAACCATGCTTACGTTTATCAGTTTATGTGTCTGTGTTCATGGACTGTTTCTGCTGTGAGTGATAGAGATGGACAGCTTCTCGGTCTTGGGGGGCCTCATTTAGACATGTTTGGCATACCAGTTTATCTTGGACCTCACCAAAGAGCTGCAGGAAGAGGGGTCTCTTTGGGATTTTGCAGAATTTAAACTAGATCTAGAGGTCAATTACCTATGTCTGGTTTGTGTGGTGTTGTCTTCCACAATGTTCATGATGTTCAGGGCAGTGTGGATGATAATTCATATTATTTGGAGCACTACTCTATTTTTAACCTATTATTCCTTTTTTTAAACCTAATGGTGTCATTGTGGTCATTATGGGCAGCATTAGCCATGATGCAAAGAGAAGATAGGCCGTAAAAGAAAGTGAGCTTACGTCAGATAGCAATAATATAGAATATATAAATAAATAGACAGAGAACCATGCCACTATTTCAAAGCACCTACCAGAGCAGGTAAGACATGCAGAAGATAGGGGGTAAGAGATCTCCAGACACACACAGCAGGCTACAGCATCAGAAATAATTACCAACAGAGCCGCTGTAAACTTGGGTTGGGCACCCTATTGGGTTAGGCTGTCGACCAGCTGACAAATCCGGAGTGCAGGGAGGGGACAGAATACAGAGCATGTGTTTCAGTAACATGCAGACCCACCTGAAGGTAGGAGGCAGCAAGTGGAGAAGATAATGCTGCCATATGACTATTACAGATAGCCTGGAAACTCATGGATCTTGCCCCGCCATGCCCTTTCCCCAGATTCCTTTAGAGACTGCTTAGCAGAGCTTCAGCCATTAGACACTGAGTTTTACTCGCTAGCCAGTATAATGAAGCCAAAAAAAAAAGTCAGCTTGAAACATTAAAGTGATTAACAAAAATGTAAGTGAAGAATGCCTCTTCTATGGCATAAAGGTATAACTATCCAGTCTGTGATGAGGACAGAAAAAAACTATAGCAGGCTGTACCCTCATATTTATTCATATCCAGTCTTATGTGGTTAGTGATTGCAGCCTAACCCATTGCCATCCTGCCATAATGCTTCATGAAATTCATTTTCAAAGTAAAAAAGAGGCATAATAATCTTAGCGTTCTTCCTATCTCACTTTCTATGGCAGCAGAATCTTCTTAACCTCTAAAGACATACCCAGAGATAATGAGCGGAGGGGCTGCATGACAGAGGGGAGGAATATGGTAATACATACATTGGAGAAGGGGTTAAACTAAAATGTAGCTGATCTTACCTGATTGGTGGTTGGGGGGAGCCGCATGGGATGGGACTGCAAGGGCTGATGGGCGTTCTTTCCGGAAAGTCAACGGAGGAAGCAGGTTGTGCCACCCGCCCTCTGTTGACTTTTTTGTGGATTCTGGTTGTTACAATGTCCTTTTTATGTCACGGCGGTTTGGACGAGTTAGGGGGTCTTTGGGGGGGTCTGCAAATGTGAGTCAGTTACACAAATGGGGGGAATCAGCTTCACCCTGTTGGTTTCAGTATTTGTCGGGGAGCCTGGCCCCTTGGAACTTGGGAGCAGTAACTGTCCTCGAGGTGGTTGGGGTGCTGCTGGGGACATGGGAGCAGTTTTTTAGGAGAGGCCTTTTTTGGGCTAATGGGCACCCAAGACCCCTTCTCGGATCCAATAGTCGATCAGTTATGTAAACACAAATCAGATGTTTCTAAGCTGTTTTAAAACAATCCAAGACTAATTCTAAAGTCTTTGTTGTGAACGCAGCAAGGAAGGTGAGTGAGGGCTTGTTTTAAAGCGTTCTCTCACTGCTTGGTAAGAATATGTAAATACTTTATGTCTATTGCACAGGTGTACTTTAACTTAACATCAGTTGGCAATCACCTACACATACACATTTGTTCACAGAATTATATCTTTTCCTCCAATGCTCCTTCACCGCATTATGGACTTCTAGTCCTATGCTGTAGCAGGAGAACACATGAGTGAACCAGAAATGATCCTAGACGTCTGCATTACAGGAAAAAAATACTGTTCACACTTTACTATCTATTACATACCAACTAGTTCCCACTTCCTAGACATCAGCGGAAGCTGTAAATTCCACCCTTTATTAACCACAGAATGAACCATAATAAGATATAGACAACAACAAAATGAACTTCAAATAGAACCATAAAGCCAGTACCGGATGGGTCTCATATATACATTATATACAGTCTCCAAATATATTGACGTGCATATCCTCGGTGGCTTACACTTTATTATCCTGATGCGTTATGATATGATACAGATAATATAGAGCCATTTATTGCATGCCATTATACCATCAGTAAAGCAAAATGAACAAGTCATAGGAGCTGTCCAAACCACTCCTTTGACAAACTGACATTAAACAATGAAGGTAGAAGTAAAAACAAAGACTCTTGTAAGGGCATTTACTTTTTATGTCAAGTTCTGGTTTACTTATTCTCATGTACCAAACGCCAACCTGTATCCTAGCATACCCATTAGGCACCAACTGAAGTGGATGAAGTGACACAAGCATTCATTAAAGAAAAATGTATTACCATATGTAGTAAGTTAGGAGGGCTTTAAAATCACAAGCATTTTAATCAGATATTCAAATCACCCAAAATAAAATAATAAAAATAACTCTAGATCCTTACCTGAAAAATGAATAACAAGAATTATCTAGACATGCTACAGAATATAATCACTAACATTCCTATACATTTTAGATGCATTGCCTTTATACCAATTATATACATGGTAGAGAAAATTCAGGACATATAGCTAGAAAAAAAAATACATTCATATATTGGTCACAAGTGAATCTGTGTATTCAGTGCAGAAACAGCATACCAAGAAAACTAAAAGTGACTCTGTCAGGATAAAAGTATAGTGGCTGCCATTGCTGACCTCTTCTTTGAAAATGCTAGTTCCCTGGACATCATGCTGATGTTTTGGCTTTGATACATTCCAACTATCTGACCTAGAACACATACAGAGATAAGGAACTTTGACACGTTTCTGACACATTTACAGCATGCTTCTTTGGGGTCTGTGATGTAAAAGTATTGAAACCAGACACATCCAGACAACTAGCAATTTTAAAAGGGGCCAGCAATGGCATCTTCCAAATGTTTCTCATGATAAAATCACTTAAACATTCTGTGACAGCAACACAAACCATTTCTACACACACACACACACACATATATATATATATATATATATATTTAAATATAAAACACAGTAATAAAAAGTGTCTACATCTCAAGAGCAGAATCATATGATCATATGACTGAAGCATGCAGATACAATGCTCCTGCTGCTGCTGCATGTCACACTTGATTAATACATAAGTTGGTCCTGATCAAGAAAAACATATCTTTCACATTTAAAGGGAGCTTATATTATGTTCTCTGCCATAGATGTATTCTTGCAATAATCAGTAGATCGGTACCATATTTACAAGTGTTCACAGTTGTCAAAGGTACTCTCTACAATTACATAGAATTCCATTACTTCAATTACCAAGGAGCATCCGAGATTACCAGTGTCAATGAGTATTTACACCTGCATTCACCAAAGAGATGTGAGCTCTTTGACACAAGCCTATGCTCCTAAACCTAAGGGGCTATATGGCCAGAGAAAACAGAGATGAAGGGTTCAAGTACACACTAGGCCAGTATACCCAATGTTTTATTTATACTTGCTTCTGGGGAGATCCAGGAAACAGGAAGTGATGGTTGGCTCTTGATTAATCAGCACTTTGTAACCGGGTTGCACAAAACAGTTTATAATGTGCCATCTCCAAAGCACATTCAGAGCACCAGAGCTCTGAAGAAGAGGGGACCAATCAACCCCCGAAACATGTTAGCTACCTTCAGTCACATGTATCCCTGTTGGTCATTATGAGTGTTTGGAATGTTTAATCCTTGGACTCCTGTGTGTCCGTTTGGAGACAGTTACGCTGATTTCCTATTTGGAATATGTGAGTAGTTCATGTATTGTCATTTTTACCAGTTTGAATAAATGGATTGCTCTGACAAAGGTACATGCCATCAGTCCAAATCAAACTATATTTAAAAAACAACTCCATCTGAATATTTTACTTGAGTACATTGGAAAAAGATGCTGAAAACAATCACTTCTTAAACTCAACATCGTCCTGCCATGTATGTGAGGGGATTAGGGGTCTCTCTCTGAAGTAAAATGGTTTGTTGCTGGACTGTTGAGAAAAATATTCTTACAGATCAGCTGATATCATTTTGCTTACCTCATCTTGATTTTCCATCAACCATTCTTTGGTTGTGTTCAAGGCTATATTAGCTGCTGGCTCATTTGGAAATCCTAAATGATTATTAAAAGAAAAAAAAATACAATCAGCAAGCAAAAGAATGCAAAACATAAATGAATGTATTTGGGACGTACAGTGTAATGAAAAATAATGCATTCTCAGAGTTTACAATCTGAGAAGTCTCCAAGCGTTATGCTGATACAACAAAACAAAGCATGCATAATGCAATTGTTAAATTTGAAATACATCTTATTCTTACAGCCAGGAATGTTTGTCCTACTTTTTTTTTCTTTGCTGTTATCACCCCTTGAAGGATATAAAGTTTAATATGCAAAAGCCCATTTTCTCACATTTATTTATTTAGGTCACCTAAGTGAGCTTGAAGAAAGGGAGTGGCAAAACATTTACAGCCGCATTAATTACAGAAAAATTATACCGTCCTAATTCTTCACACTGTCTCCAATGATCTTGTTTACATAGCTGGGAGAAACAACCTTGGAGGTCAAGGATATCAGATATAAACCTACACTGTTAATGGTGTAGTGGTGGATGTGGTGGTGGGGAGTTTAGGAGGTTGGTTAAGATCTTAGACAAACTACAAGGCTTCTGCTGCCTTAACACTGCAAGCTGCATCACAATCTATGAGTGCCTTTCCATTGAAATCTATATGGAATTTGCGCTGATCAGAGTGAAAAATAGGTCAGGGAGCATTTTGGGCGGCAGGCGCTCCCCATAGGAATGTATGGGGTTGTTCATGTCGGCGCTTCAGCGCTGACAAATCAGCGTGACCCAACTGCCCTGGTGTGAACGGGGTCTCAATGTTTGCTATATAGAGCTTTGTATGTTTCTCCTCCTAAACTGTCTACATCAGGAACAGACTGGCAATTTGGCAACTCTAGCAAATGGCAAAAGGTCTGAGGTGTCTGAAATTAGCTGATCTCTTCATAAATATATCTAAAATAATATTTAAAAAATTCACATTACCTCTAAAGCTAACCTTTAGCCTTACCTTCAGTCTTGCACAGTTTTACAGACTCCTGTAATGTACTGAACATGCTTAGTCTAATTTCTGTGTACACTGTGAGCTTCTCAAATTGTTCATTAGAAGCTACAACAAGTTAGATAGAATCCATTTCATTTTCTGGCTGGAGGACAGCCAGCAACATTTAAAGGGTTATTCACAAAAGGGTGAAGGGTTTGGAGAAGGCAGGAGACGTGAACAATCTAGGTCAAAATAGCTGATTTGGAATTCAGCTCACTTTCCAGTTCAGCTATGTTGTCCTAGATTGTTCACTTCTCCTGCCTTCTCCAAACTCTTCACCTATTAGAGAATAACCCTGTTAGCTTCTCCTCCCCAGCCTCACTGTCCCTGGCCCGCCACTTCATTCATTGGAATACAGTTCTTTCAATCATGGAGGCTCAGCATGACATGTGGGTGTACCTAGGGCAGTCTAAATATAAATGCAACCTGTCTAGAAACATCCAGTGTTCAAGACTGACATCCACCCATGAAAACATTTTGGCAAGCTCTAATAAGCATTAATCTCCTAACCTTCTTGTAAGGAACTGTGCTGGCTCCATTTATTTTGTAGCACTGTATAAACTGTTGGCACTATATAAATCCTGTATAATAATAGTAATATTATATGCATAACTCCTCTCAAGAGCCAACTTGCTGCTTGCTCAGGGCTGGCAGCTCTTGAGAACAGTTCTGTGGCAGGGTGCTGTGATGTTTTCAGTACAGCACCCTGCCAAGCTACTAACCATGAACTGCCTGCATTGCATAGAAAAGCACAAAGATGAAAACAGAATGGCTTTAAGTAAAGTTTTTATTAGCAAGAAGATGGGGAGGGGTGTAACCAGGTGTCAGAGCACAATGAAAACCAGGCAAGCAAAAGGTGCGAGTTAAAATATTTATTAAGAACAGTGTCCACAGGAGAATGCAGAATCATAAACCGGAACAAGCCAGAGTCAGGAGCCTGAGTGGGTAGTCGTCCAAGCCAGGTCAGGAACACAGAGATCAGCGTTGTCAGGAACAAGCCAGGAAATCAGCGATGTCAGGAACAAGCCAGGAGCCAGAGGAGAACGTCAGCCAGGATCGGGTCAAACACAGAATCAGGATACTCAAGAGCAGCAGGAAGACCTTACAAGGGAAAGGTCAGACTGGACTGAGTGGTTTATATATATATATATAATGAGTGGGGTGACATCATCACTTAGAGACAGGAAACTCCCATCTGACTCTCTCAGATGATGCTCTCCTGTCTGGCCATAAGAGGGAGCCTGGGAGTTATTGAGCAACGTTCCAGAGTCTGCTTAGGTAAAGAAGGAAACACAGGTGAGTAAAATGGCAGCCAAGCCAGAATGCTGCAAACCAGTAAAGTCAGGGTGGAACCCTGACACCAGGGTAGGCAAAATATAGGCACATAAGAGATACGGCTTTAAAGTACCCTCATTCTCAATCCTCTGGTCTACTTTATGAAAGACCTTGACAGAATAACTATTCGGACCTGTAAAGTGCACCTGCATACCCATATACATTTGCATTTTGTCCTGCAGGAGTCTGTGGAATGCTCAAGATGCTTGTAGTGCAGAGCACAATTCGGACAATCAAGGAACAGATATGAGAAGTAGGAACACGTAAAGTGGGAATAATTTACACAATACACTCAGCATTCTTTTCTGTATCATTTCCAGTTTGAATCTTGCCCTTTAACTTGCTCTTGAATTTACAATACCTTGCCATCCCTGTTATGAAGAGCTGAGCAATCACAAATTAGACAATATATAAATATTTAATTGTTTAGGGCCATTTTAGGAGGCTACAATTGCAAACACAGTACGAAAACCATTTAAGAGCAATACTATGTATACATATATAAAGCACATAGCACAAGTGTAAATAAAACAATATAGCCAGCACAGCATAATATCTAATAACAGCTGCCAGCTCACTATTAACTACCAAATAAAGGCCTATAGCAATGTTTGTTTCCAGGCATTATTACCGAACAGCTGTCATACTAAGAGAATATACATGATTTTGTAACATCAGCGATAGTTAATACAGACGTGGGGGTAGATAGCTAGGTAGCTTATGAATTTAAGTCAGCAGTTAATTGTGACAATCAGAGCACTCCTGGAAGAATAGAGATATATATTTAACCATTAGTGTAATAAAGTGGCAGCTGTGTATACGTTTATAGAGGTGACATGGGATGTCACATGTTTGCTTTCTAAAACGTAGAACAGCAATAATTAGACTGTAATTGTCTGCGCAAAGCTGAACTAGTTTATGCTATTTAATAAAGTGATCAGTTTGATTCAACAATTTGGCAAAAGACAGAATCAGGTCAATGAAAACAAAAAAGAAAAATTTGCATTAAAAATTTGCATTAAAAATTATGAAGATGTCGCCGTCCCCCCAGCCACCCCCTCCCTGCCATGCTGTCTGGCTCCCCCGATTTCTGGCGGACCCAGGACCACGGCAAAGTAGTTCAGGATGGAAAGCAGGGAGCAGAGTGGAGAACGTCTGTTCTCAGCTCTGCTCTGTGATCAGTGACAAAGGACTGCTGTATTCACAGCGCTTCCTGTGTCACAACCTGAGCTGTACAGAAGATACATGTGCTGTATTTTCTGTATTGGATGGCAAGCTGATAAAGAGAACCTGTCACCTCCAAATGATATCACATAGGGGCTTGTGTGAAATCAATAAAGTTATGTAAAAAAAAGTGATACAACAATACTAAATAATAAAATAGAAATGAAAAAGTGATAAAAAAGGAAGAAAAATTTAAAAAGTGAGAAAAAGGTAAAAAATAAATAAAATTAAAAAACACAAAATAATGAAAATTAAAAAAATTAAAAAGTGATGAAAAAGGTAGAAAAATTATCAATAAAAAATAATAAAATAAATACAAATTAAAATAAAAATTATTCCCGTCGCCCGTGCCATCTGTGTGCGAATAAATGCATGCATAGGGCATTGTGTGTGAGTGCTGCCCTCATTCCACTGTGAGCCATATTGTGGTAGTGGGGCGGCAGTGCATGTCCCTTTAAGAAAACTTATTGGTAATTGGTATCAGCAAGTACCGAGGAAAAGTTCTTGTACTTGGCCTTGAAAAAATGGTATCAGTGCATCCTAATACACAGTGATCTAGCAAGCAATGTGTTATTCAGTTAGGACCTACTGTACACCTACTGTAAATCTAAAACATTGCCAGTGTGATCAGTATAATACACATGGTTTTTCTAACACAGAAAAAATAAATGTTCTAAAAATATAACCATTTTTATATTGTTACTTTCATATATTGAATTGGTAAGGTGCAAATTGTTTTAAACATTTTGGGAATTCCTGGGCATTTGTGTTTTATTTCTTACATTAAAAGTATCCTCACAAGGGCATTTTATGTTTAATTAAAGATATGAAAAACAAGTAATATTTAATTTGATGCTTCAGAGAACTTTGAGTTGAAGATAAATAGGCTTAATAATCCCAAGATGCCCATAAAGTTATTTTTGGCAAAATGTAACAATCCACAACAAACCTAAAGACATTAATTCTAGAAATAGCAAGAAGACAGCAAATAAATTGGAAATAATTTCATTTGCTCTACTTGGAATGTTTAAAAAACAAATTGTTTTATATTTCCAAAAATGCTGTTTGTTTCATTTGTCTCAGAATGGTAGACTGTTAAACTCTCTTTTTTAACCTCCTAATCATGAAAAAGTTTATTAGCAGCAAAGAAACCTATTTTAGTCATTTAATTTAAGTATTTTTGTTTATTTATTGCAGAAGGAGAGAAAACAAGAAAAAGGAAAAAAGTTTTAATTAAATGATAATTCTTTGTGAACTGAAAGCAATTTTGGGATAATGGATGGACACTTGCACTTTACATTGCAGGATGTCTAACTATAAAATATTAAAAGATCTTAAATTTGTTGACTGATTGAGGTTTGTTTGTTTTTAATGGCATCCTTTGTGGTGCCCTTTTAAATGTTATTTTCTGTTATTATGATGTATTTAGTAATTGATTTAATCTTTTTTTTT